TATGAATCCGATTTCGTTGTTATTTGGGTGGCCGATTAATCATAAGGTGGGAGGGTCAATTTTTGGGGTTAGGGTTTATTTATATTTTCTTGTTATTTTACCTCCGTGAACTTCTTTCTGGTTTCATGTGAATTTTGAGTCGGGTTAGGTTTTGAGTTCTTTTTTATTTGTTTTACGAGAGATGGATTTTGGGATTTCTGATGAATTGTTGGGAACCTTTGCTCCAATTTTTGTTTATTGGATTTATTCTGGAATTTATGTTGTTCTCGGATTATTTTCCGAGAATTATCGATTACACTCGAAGAAGGATGAAGATGAAAAGAATTTGGTATCCAAGGTTTCGGTGGTGAAAGGAGTTCTTCTTCAACAAGTAGTTCAGGCTGTTGTGGCAATACTCCTGTTTGCTGTAAGTGATCGAAATTTTCTTTATGATTCTTTTAATGGATAGAAACTCTTTAAACTGTCTGATTGTGATGTTAACGATAAATGCCCGTTTATGTGAATCCTTTTTAAATAGATTTTATATTTGGGATGTAGTTTCGAATTTTATCATATGGGAATCGTGTGTGTTTATTATATGCTACTTCATATGGGGTAATCAGAGAAATTTTACTGTCGTCATAGTCTCCCTAATGGGTGACAAAAATATTAGATCGTTGTCGTATCTGTCTAATATAAACCCTAAAGGAACCTTTTTCCTCCCTAAAAGCAAAAGATGACAAGTTGGAGAAGTTCTCGTTATTGTCATCTCCCACGCAAATTGGTGATTGATTTCCCCCTTTGGAAAGGACATCTCCAATTTTCATTTATCCTTTCTTTCCCCTCTCTGGGAAATGGATTATTTGGGGGTGTTTTGTTGCTGTAAATCACCCCAAAAGAACGAAGAAGAATCCAATTTCAATGATCTTATGAATATTTTTGCTTTTACTCTTTTATTTTTGACTTTGGTGTATTTTTTTCTGGGACTGGACAATTCTAACAGATTGAAGAGTTTATAAGTTTTGTGGATAACGAATAATAATGTATTATTAATGTAATTACATCAGGAACGGATTTGATCTGCTAACGGTTAATGGTCAATAAGAGGGGAGGCTAGATGTGGACTTGATGAGGCTGTCTAGGAAGCTTGTCAATGATTATCTCAAGGCTAAGTGATTAGAATTATGAGATCTCATAAAAATCAATAGTCTCTGGCCAATAAAAAAAAGAATCAATAGTCTGTCCATTTTAGATGAATACTATAATAGCGAACATACTGGTTCTTTTGTGTATCACAGGGCACACGTAAATAAATCTTAAGATGAAATTTGTCATGAGAAATTTCATGAGACTCGTTTAGACAACAATCCATGATCAGCTAATGCAAACTCATGGCAACTAACCACTTGGAAGATTGGGCACAGCCAATGATTTGTTTCCTTTCCATTACTAAACATGACCTAGTGCTTCTGGCAAAGTGGCAGTGGAAATTACAGAAGCCATTGTCTTTTCCTTTATAATTTCCTTGCAATAATGTCCTTTTTTTTTCTTCACTACATGTTGAGTACTAAAGCATAAATTGGTAAAATTTTGTTTGGATATGACATTTTAAATCATAATTACCTCTTTTGTTACTGTGTAGGTCACCAGTGGGAATGGTGATGACGGTGGAAATGTCACTGTTGAAAATACGTCCATCCTTGTATTACTGAGACAGTTTGTTACTGCCATGGTGGTTATGGACACTTGGCAATACTTCATGCACAGATACATGCATCACAACAAGTTCTTATACAAGCACATCCACTCTCAACATCACAGACTTGTTGTTCCCTATGCATATGGAGCCCTGTACAATCACCCTGTAGAGGGGCTTCTTCTAGATACTGTAGGTGGAGCTTTATCTTTTCTTACATCTGGCATGAGCCCACGGGTCTCCATCTTCTTCTTCTCCTTTGCCACGATTAAAACTGTGGACGACCACTGTGGATTATGGCTCCCTGGGAACCTTTTCCATATATTTTTCACAAATAATTCAGCCTACCACGATGTGCACCATCAGCTATATGGCACCAAGTACAATTTCTCACAGCCATTCTTTGTTATGTGGGATCGAATCCTGGGTACTTACATGCCTTACTCACTGGAGAAGAGGGGAGGTGGGGGTTTTGAAGCTAGGCCTTCTAAAGAGTTCAAGGATGATTGATCTTTTTGTTTGATGAGAGCATTCTTTGTCTGTAGTAGTATTATTTTTAATCGTGATGAGTCGCACTGCCCAACTGATTTGTATATATACATATATGCTTCTGTGCTCAATCTTTTGGCTTTATTTATGTCCATATTAGATTGCCCTTTAATAAGGAGATTGTGGATCTACCTGTTCTGGTGGTTTTCTTGTACCCTTCAATTGCTGGCTTCAGAGCACCCTGTTGTCTTGCTTCTATCAACTTGTATTTTTCATCTACAAATTATTTGTGTTCTGCCCACCTTTGTGGTTCTACTTGCTGGAAAGTTCAGTTCATGCTAACATTTAACAATAAACTTATGTCTTGTTTGGTAGCATGGGAAAGTTTTTGCTAGAAGAGGAAGAGGAAGTGAGATTTCAAAACATGTTTGGTATGCATGCGAAAGTAGGATATATCTATGTAGGGAAGTGAAGGAGGATGTAGGTTCTATGGATGTGAAGGTGGAAGTATGTTTCATCAATTTTGATAGAATCAAATTCTCTAAAAAAGTGAGATTTAGTGTACCAAATGATCTATTTTTCAATTCAATTTTCACTTCCACTTCTTCAATCTCAATTCCATGCCATAAAACGAGCCATTGGTCTTTTATTCCATCTAATTATATTTCAATTTCAATAGTTTTTCACTTGTTCTAGGGGGCAAACTCAAGCGTACCATTTGAAAATCTGAGATCCTGATTCAGAAAATAAAAAAGGGCTTACAATAGAAGGTGATTGATAGATTAGTGAAGATTGTCTCGTTTAGAAAATAAAAAAGGGTTTACAATAGAAGGCAATTGATAGATTAGTGAAGATTGTCTCGCGTTCACTCTAGCTTTCAAAGTCATGAATTGTATATGGACCTGTCTTAAATTCTTAATGATCCAGTCTTGATATTGATGCTGGACTTCGTTCCTGCTCAATGGTATGAAGTCATTTTCATATTGTTTGCATTTCCACCCACATAATCTATCCCTGTGGTTAGTTATTTCGGTCATCTGCAGTAGTTTTGAATCATATTTATGCATCTAAACAACCATTGCTCTTTTTATCAAGGAAAAATATATTGCTAAATATGATGAACCAAAGACTCGACCATTTCTTATAGTTTCTGCAGAAACGACTGCAGAAGTTATCTTTTCTGATGCTACTATCATGCTCCATCTAAACAAGGTTCTAAAACCCCAATCTATGTATAGAATGATATGTGGCAAATATTCCCTATCAGGTCTATTAGGTCGTATTCAAAATATTCATATCCGAACTTTGAACAAATATACCATAATTACTTTCATGCCTCATAATAAAGATATTGGACATCAAGTTTAGAGGTTGTGTTTTGTTCTACTCAAAGTCTTGTGGAGAGAGAAAGGCAATCATCTCCTAAGTGGTCCTTGGGTACCAAGCTTATCTATCCTCCAATCAATGATGGTGCAGACTGCAGACAGGTATATCATACAGAAACCATTATATGGACAGACAAAGGCTAAATATTCTGATGTTAGACCCGACCATTAATATGTTAATTTGCACCACATAAAGCTGGACCTATTAACATATTTAAAATGACATTTTATTTTGTATCATAGACAGATACGCAAGTGTTCTTTTGTGGACTTGATAGCTTGCCTGGTTTTGCTCTCTTCCAAGTAAACATAAGGATCCAGATTCTTTGAATTTTGCCCCTCAGAAGTTTCATGAAATTATTTGCCTACAAGTTCCAGAAATGACTCTTTATGGAAGTGTTGGTACTTATTAGATTTATAGTTATTATCTACAGAAGGCTCTATAGACAAGCTTCGTTCACTATGAAGGTTTCAGGTCTTAAGTCATGAGTTAATCAACCACTCGTGGAATGAGATCAAGAATCGGAATAGGGGCTCCTGGTTTGGGTTTATCAGCTTCCACAATGTCAAGGAATTTTATTTTCCATCGTATGACATACTTTTGATGGATTTCTGCAATATTGACTGTGACATAAGCATAATGATTATAAGCTCGATGGATGGACCACCATATTTATTAGGTAGTTCTAATATTGAATATGCCTGGCTTCATTCCATGGTGAGCATTTCGCCGTCGCTGTTGCCAGTTGCATGTCACTATAAAGACATTCTCGAGGCTTGAAATTCTCAATTAGTCAGTTATGATGAATAAACCTCTCATAATTACACTTATATTTATGTCGCGAAATTGAGGTGTCCTCAAGCTTGTTTGAAATGTCCTGCAAAAAATGGAAAATAACAACTAAATAATAGTGAAATAACATCAAACATATAAAGCAAGACTATAACAGTGTAGGGAAAGCAAGCTCTTACTGTCAAATAGTTAACTTTAACCTCCTGACTTTTCAGGCCCAAAAAAAAAAGGAACCACCTGACTTTTGTTTTGTTCCTATGGAGAAAGGTATAGGATAAATTTTATACAGTCACACCTTTTGGATGCATTATTTTCAACAGCCAACAGAACTAGGGGAAAAATACATATAGAAAAGGCAGATCTTATATCATTTGCAAGTGGTCCTTCTAGGAAAAGTATCATCAAAAGTTAAAAGGAAGATAGTTGCACTTTCCAAAATGTAATGGTGATATCAGATACATCCATCATTATAAATAAAAACAAAAAGCTATGCAACAAGCAAACTCTGGATTGGAAGAGATCATTACATGGGGCATTTTTCCATGCCTTGACAATACGAGGTTTCCTTTCACGCCTTATCTATGGCAATATGAGTCCATATGCTTCCTTCCAAAATGATCCATCTTCATCTTGTTTATGAACCAGACACAGCAAATACTGATGGGCAATATGTATTTATATATATCAATGCAAACAAAATAACATTACAAGGTTTTAAGAGATTTAAAACTATTTTAGCAACCAGATTTAGAACTCAAATACACCAAGTGAAAATGCATAACTTAAGTCCTAACCGCTAGTTAATTCAAACTACTGCTAAATGTACAGGGGTTGTGAAACATGTGATGAGTATGAACGTTGAAGTGGGGGTCGGGCATAAGCATGTTGCCCATGAATGGCACCAAAATTTCCCATCTTTGTATCTGTCTTGAACCTTGTCACCTGAGCCAAGGTATCAGACCTGCGACGAATTAGCGGGCTATAATTAGGTTTTTCAAAGGTTATGAAGGCATCCCCAGACACCCTCACAGCCTTATGACTCTTGCAGCCCATCAGCGTACTAGAATGTCTCCTTTGCATCTCTCTGCTAGCTTTTGTTGTTCCAGCTGGTGATGTATACGCTGTTTTTGCCGGTATGGTGGCCACTGCACTTTGTTCTTCACTATCTGACAGGACAGAAAAATCTGCAGCACTGGCAGTGGCCACACTCCATTCTATGCTTGCCTCACTTGGTGCATAACAAGTTGTAGGGGAGGCACAACCAGAAGCAACTTCTGATGTCTGTCTATTAAGGAAGTGGTTGGTCTTACCTGTAAGGCTGTCAATCTCAAATAAATCTGAACTTGCATCACTCTCAGTATCATTGTAATTTCCTTCAAAAATGTCAATTTCTTCCACTTTAGGTGCAGCAGCAGCAGCAGCATCCCAAGAGGGCCTTGTAAGCCTTTTATCAAAGGTCAAAGATCTCCTGTTATTCAATATTGGGGAGCCAAATACCTCCAGTGATTTCCTTGGCTTCTCTTCTTCCTTCTGCTGAAGTTTCATATTCACCAGCTGATCTTCTAGACCAGAGTTCACAGCTGAGATTGCTAAATCTGGCTTTTTGAAGCAAACATCTTTATTGCACAAGAGTTCTTCACGAGGCTTGTTTGTCTTAACTGAATAATCAGCATCTTGGCCAGCTTTAAAGAGGTTGTTTTTGTGAGATCCTTTGCTATGGACAACACCATAAGTAGGATTATGGTTATGGTCACTGATATCAACAGAATTATCATCAGCACAGGCGCATTTGCAGCCAAGACCAGCTAGAAAACTCTTTCTCTGTATCTTGCTGTTCCTGTTCCTGGAAGAGATCCGCTGAGCATTCGGTAATAGTTTACTCTGGCTGTTCCAACTTGATTCAGATCGAACGCTTGGAGTTCCGTAGTGGGGTTTATTGGACTTCCGGGTTTCTAGAGCTCTGTGATCTTCATCTTTATGATACTGGTACTGCCTTGCAGGCACGTTAGCATTAGCAACTCTGGGACTGTCATGATCCATTCCTCCATTGAAGTACTTACGAGCTTCAAAGACTCCAATATCTCCATCTTCTTCCTTCTTTTCTGCTAGTTGAACTTGAAGATGGAGATGCTCCCACCTATTGCTGGTAAGAGAATTCCTAACATGCCTCCCTGACTCTGCAACTTTCTCTTCATTGCTGTTCAAGTATGAAGAGATGAAAGCATCACGTTGGTGGTTGTTTCTGCTCTCAGAAGCTGAAGTTCTCAACTGATGGAGGCTGCTGTTTGCAGTGATGGTAGCCATCGTTACAGGATCATTCTTGAGCATGGTTTCAGGTGCTAAGAAAGAAAACAAATTAGGACTATAGGACAAGATGGTACAATACTGGGAACTGAAGACGCAGAATTGAAAGAAGAAGAGGAAGTTGGGTGAAGCTTTTTGCAGGAAGTAATGGAAGCAAGAAAGGATTTGAAATGAATGAGTGAATGGACATAGGATTACATAGGAGGAGTTCTATAAGTAGTGAGGGTTGTGGAATATGAAAATGTCAAGGTAGGGCCATGTGCTTCTGGCCTAATTGACACCTCCTCCACAGTTTCCACGCGTAAATATTTTGCATTCAGACTAATAAATTGGGAAAAATAACTTTTAATTAAAACTCTAAACATTTCAAGTTCTTTCAATAATTGTAAAAGTATATTATTATTATATTTTTTAAACTCATACTCTCTAAAGTTATAATTTAGTCTTCAGTTATTATTACATTGTCTTTTTTGTATGGGGATAAGAATGAATGGAAACACTCTTATGATACCTTTTTCTTTATGTATGAAAAAGAATTATTGCCATTTGTTAGGAGTTTTACACTCATGTAGCCAAAGCCAAACTCATTTCACTTTATATTAGTCAAGCCTAATGTAGCTTCTAAAAGGTAAAAACTAATTGGCATATCACAGAAAAAAGAAGAAAGAAATCCTATTAAATATCATACTTAGTTTTTAACAATATAAATCCTGTTAAATTACGTAGTTAAATAATGAAATTTGAAAGTATGTGAATAAAGTAGTACAATATCTAATGAGATGCATGAGGAAATTTTAAAAAATTAAGAAAAATGCACAAAACTTTAGGAAGTGCACTATTAATAACTTGTGGATGATGAAGTTGCTCTAAATTTTATATTTCATATATTGATATGTTGATTATTAAGTCTTAACTTTTGAAAACCGTAAGCGAGAACTTTTTCTTATGATCCTTAAAATAACTTTAATTTTTAAAACCATTTAATATTGATTTTATGTTTTGATTATAATTATTTTATATAAATTTCTAAGTGATAGAGAGATAATATTTTCAATTTTTACCTTTTTTTTATTGTCATTTAAGAAAATTATACAAATTTTCTTGCGTATTGCAGAAATTTTGGAATGAATTATACTATATTAAATTTGTAAATAATATGATTTATTACTATAAACTTTTTTATGATAGTGATCATGACATAATTTTTTTTTTTTAGTGAAAACTTGTAAATGTTATTATATACTAAACTTCTTTCCTTTTCAGATCTTATAAAAAATGAAGAGATGGTTGGGGCCTTTATTTCTTAAGAAAATGGTTCGATTTCAATTTCCTACCTTTATGTATAAAGTAAACTTAATTAGTTGAAAGAAGTCTATTATTTGTTCTTTCTATCTTGGGAGAGAATTTGTTTGAGTGAATAATACCAATGTCTTAGAGGAAAATACAAGGAGGAGAAAGAAGAGATGAGAATCAACCATGCAACTTTAACCTTTCTTCAAATGACACTTTGATAGTTACAAGTCCATTGAATTTGAAAAATTGTGGACCAAAAATTTTCTCTAGACAAAAGAATATCATTTAACTAATCATTCCCCATTTTTCTCTACATTTCTGTTATCTTTCAATATTTCCTTTTCTTTTTACGGAACTATTAACTAGACAAATATAAACCTCAACAATTTATTTTCTCAAATAAGACACTATGATTTGTCTCCTTTCAGCAGAAAGGGTGCCGAGTGTCAACTACATGAGAAAAAAACAGAACTTTCAATATGTTTCCCTTGATTAACTAATCTTCATCGGCACCATCTTTGAAAAAACAAAAAGGGGTTAATGCACATTAACCAAAATCAGGTCTTTTTTTTTTTTCTTCTTCTAAGGAGGATTAATAAACAGTAACCAAAATCAGTGGAAAAACAATGAAGAGAGACAAGGGACATGAAGGGAATTCCTCGTATAAGCTCTACTTTGGGTATATAGTTCCTTGATGACGCAATTGTCTTGGTTACATGCACACACACGCAGAAGCTTACAATTACTACATGCAGATAAGGTTTGAGTCTGCAAATCTCTCACCATTCCTTTTATTCTTTTCACGTCTGCTATGTCAAAATCTCAATATTCAAGCAGATTTAATGAGGTTGGATAATTCAAAGAAAGATTATCATTGGATTTGGATATTTCCCCCAAAAAATAATGTAAATTAAAATTAATTAATATCACCATCACTTTGAGTCCTCGACTCTCTTTTTGAAAAAAATAATAATAATGACAAGCAACTTGAATACAGGAGTTATAACAGTGCATGGAGATTAAACTCCTTTCACACAAAAGTACGTTTGCACATTTAGGATGAGTCTTCGAATCTAGGCCTCAATATATGCAGGGAGATTTTGGGCTTTTTCTTTTAGTAGGTAGGGATATAAACATCTTTTTACCTAAAATTTTAATTACACTCAAATCTCAACAACTTAACTATATTTTTTTAAATTCATGAGATTTATTTATAAATAAGTCTCTTAAACTCAATTTATATGCAATTTTTTATTTTATATTCTATCTATTATTTATGGATATAATCTCTCTATACCTGAATCGTTTTACTGGGGGAAAAAAAAGTATGAATGACATGGATACTTTGAGAAAACATGATAATTTCTGACATATAATATTGTAATTTAAAAATATTGTCTTGTATCTGTGAATACAACATGATAGTAAAAAGATAATTATGATTAAGTAGTGATAATTGAAAAAATGACAAAAATTGCATACCTCATTATCCAATGAAAAAAAAAACTACTAATTAAATATCAATTTTCACTGTTACACAAATAGTTAGACAACCTCTTATTCATTGCATTATAAGAAAAGGTCTCAAATTGTCAATAAAATTCAAATCCATGACTTTGCAGTGTATGAGTCACGTTTTTTTTAATCAATTAAACGAATTTAATTCAATTGATAGGAATGTGACTCATACCTTATAAAATTCAGAAATTGAATATCATTGGCAATATGAAAATCTTACCTATAGGTATTTGGAAAATACTTTTCTGATTATTTTTAGAGCTATATGACTTTACCTTGAATTTAGTAAATTCTTGAAATCTAATTTATTTAAACTTGATATTGCAAAAAAAAATATTTAAAAAAAATTATCAAATACTCCACCCATTCTTATATGCAAGACACATTCTTGAAGATTTTAAATATTCAAAATGTAAGTCACTTTACAAAACCTAGACAAGATTAAATATTTTTTCATACTTTCCTCTTAATAACTAATCAAAAAAATATGGTGGAAAAATTGATTAATAGAGACATATGATTAAAATGGATTTACAATTTAATGTTAATAATTTTGAGCAAGTTATGATAATTCTTGAGAATTTTAAAGAATTAACAAACAAAAATTGAAAAATGCCAACCAGTCAATGTTAATTTATATATAATAGTTTAATAAAATAATAATATGATGACAAAAAGATTAAAATGAAGAGCAGTGCTGGACAAATTAAGCGAAGCTACCAGAGGACGGGCATGTGATAAAGAGAGATGGGAACTGACCACAAAAAAATAGACAGCAATGACATGGGAAGGCCCCTTCATAACTATTGGCATTCAATAGGCTTTCATATCAAGCAGGTACCTCCAAAACGGACACTTATATGACACTCATTTATTTTGCTCCTATTTTAGACCACATTTTCTTTGCAAAGCTCACGAAACCCCACCCTCTACTTATCCTTTACTTAATATCCCCAAACCTTCTTCCCCTTCAATTATTTAGCTTTTCTATTTCATGTATAAATGATTTATAATTATTTGAAGAAAATTTCGATAAAATACCACTAACTCAAGTTAGCGTGAATGACAGAATTTCATGTCCTCATTGCTTTCGGCTCAAGGAATTTGGAGAGGGATGAGAGAACAAGGGTATGGCCTTGTTTGTTTAAAAAAAAAAAAAATGGAAGACACACTTTTTCCCAACCTGTCCTTCCTTTAATAGAAGTAATATACCATCTGGTATCAAAACCAAGGGAGATTAATATTTACTGGGTGACTAAGGGTAAAGGACAAGCCCCTATTTTAACTAAACAACTATTTGATGATAGTTGGACAAACCCCTTCTTTAATAGAAGCTCAATTCAACTTGGATTCAAATTAATCAATAATGTTGCATACACTTTGACTTGTGAAAATGAAATTAAGAGAGAGAGAGAGAGAGAGAGAGAGAGAGAGCTATGGAAGCATGAAATTGTGAGGAAGGTGGGTCCACAGGAGAGTAGCGTTGTACATAATACATGCAGGGGAGACAGAGAGAGTAAGCTCCAGTGGTTAAGATTCCAAGGGAGGCCACTAGGGATGGCTCGTGAACCTCTTGTTTCTTCTGTTCACTTAATACAAAAACGACTCAACCCGTTTGTATACTTACCGCTTGGAATGTTGTCTGTGGGACCTGAACCAAGTCCCTATCTGGTCATCAAATTTAATTCATCTCAACAATTCACATCAGATGTAAACCACGCACGTCTATCAAAATGCAAAAGCAATTCCACTAATTGGCCTCTCAACCCACCTGCAAACATTTACTAGGCACTGGCTGCTAAGTTGCTTTGCAAGTTTATTTATGAAGGATTTTGTTCAGAAAATAGGGATAAGATCAGTAGCAAGTAACCATGGGAGTCTATTAAAAGCACAACGATAAACTTTTGTTGCAAGCAAAAGGGCATTTTGGACATCAAAGAGGCGAAAAATAGAGAATTAATTGCCGAGAATGGCCAGCATTGTGCTTGACTTTTCAACGAACAGATGTAGTGTTGTACAAAAATATAATTAACCTAAGCCCAAAAAATGACTGTCATAACTTGAGAACGGCTTAGAGCCTTGTCCATAAATAAATTAACCACAATAAATAAATGAACCATAACAACAATGGAGAAGGAAAATTGAGCATAATCCTGCAAGCACCCTCCCTTTGCCAGTCGTGATAATCAGTTAAGCAAAACTGGCTCATGACAAGACATAGATGAAATCTGTCACATGATCATTCCCGGAAAGAAACTGGCAGCCTATGGGCAAGCCTGTGTTCAATTTGTCTTCAATGTTCATTGTGTGGATGTCGAATTGTCACCGGCAACCCAGTATTGCTTCACCGCAATCAGTATCTTCTCAGGAACGAGAGGACCATCCTCATGGTCAACCAGTTTCGTATCCCATCTCATGCCCGCGACTATTTTCTTTACCTTAATTAGGACATCAACTTCATCGCGGAATATGACAGCACCTTCAGGCCGCAAAATCCGGTCCATCTCTAAAAGAATATCATCTGCATTACATCTGCATTTCAATCATGACACGCAAGCTTCAGGCACGTGAAGGAGGTAACACAGTTTTCAGAAGAAAGAAAAGGTGAGAACTAAAACAAGTGGTTCTGCAGATGGCTGAAAATGCCAATCCGTGTCAGCAAGTTGA